ATTATATCACAAGTAGAAATGAATATAATTGTATCGAAGATTATTGTATTCATTCATTTAGCTCAATTGAATTGAGTGTATTTATGAACACAATTGTTAACAAATACAATTGTATAAATGTTGTATTTGTGTGTTTATCATGTGTATTTGTATTTGCATCATTGATTATTACCATTTATATTTGTATTTTCATTTGCGTCGTTGAATGTTACCTTTTGTATTTGTATGATTGTTTATTACCATTATATTTATATTGGTTAGAGAGAGACGAGTGAGTGAGGGCACAGAGAGGAAAAAGACGAGCAAAAGTGCATAGAGAGAAGAGAGAGGGGAGGGAGACAACGAGAAATTTGTTATGGAACTCTAATTATATATGCAAATTATAATTTTTTAAATTATAATTGTGTAGAGTAATAATAACATGTCTTTGCCTTACTATCTAATTTTTCCAAATTTTTATCCCACTTAATTTATTGATAAGTAATTTATATCTAAATATCCTCTATTATACTTTTACGACAGAATATACATCTCAATCTAAAACGTCTACTCAAATTATAAAAATATTGAATCAAACATCAAACACTCACTTCTACTTAATTATATACATGATTAAATAGCAATAAGACAAAACTACGTGTATCTCTTTTGGTAAAAGTAAATGAAGATCAAGCATCCACGAGTATAATTATAAAACTCATCACTATACTTTTTATTTATATATAAATAAATATTGTAAATGATATCTTATATATTCAATTTTAGCCAATAAATCAAATACTTTAACACGAAATTAATCTCTATATTAATATAACCAAATCCTATATACTAATTATTCATACTTTATAATCCTTAAAAGTCTCAAATATGCCATCGAACTTTCAGAAAAGATTCATTTTACCGTTAAAGAAAAGAATCATTCATGCCATTATTTTTTAATGGTGATTTTGCAAAATCATTTTTGACACGTGGTCAATTATAATTCAACCACGTCAATCATTTTTTTAATAAAAAAATCATAATTCTGAAAAAAAATTGAATTAATTTTTTTATTAAATAAATTTATGACATGACCGAATTATAATTGGCCACGTCATCAAACTTTTAAATTAAAAAATTCAAAATTCTGAATAAAAATTGAATTATTTTTTTTTTTGATTTTTAATAAAAAAAATTGATGACGTGATTGAATTATAATTGGCCACGTGTCAAAAATGATTTTGCAAAATCACAGTTAAAAATAATGACATAAATGAGCCAAACTTTTAACTAATGACATAAATAAGTCTTTTTTAAAAGTTCAATAATATATTTGAGTCTTTTTTCTATAACTTGTGTTCGAACCAAACAACCCTAAAATGAATCATCATTCTCCATTTCTTCTTCGATTCTAAGGTTCCACATTGTAATAAATTTCTTTAGAAAATGCCCTTTGTTCCCACTTTGCACCAAGTATACTCAACATGAACACTTTTACCAATTAAATGATGTTAAAGTTGATATATTACCTTTTCATCTTTAAATAACTATATACATATATTCTAGTTAGAGGAAAAAGATTCTTGTTTTGGCCCAAATATTCCACTACTATCATTATGTCCCATTGAATTAGATAAACCATAAATCATATGATGTAAACTTGTAAAGCTAAGTAAATATTATATATATATATATATATATATATATATGTTTCTATACTTTGAAGAAAAGTCTTAATAAACTAATTAACACGCCAATTCTTTCAATTCAATGCAAGCTGTGAAACCTATTTTTTCCACAATTTTTTTTCAAATTCTAATCCACTTCCAACTGTCAAACATTAGCTAACTTACTACAACTACAATTATATTTCCCTATCAAATAGAAATTTAAAGTATAAAAATAATGTTTTTCTATGAAAATTTTCATTTTTGAGATTCGAATTCAAACTTTTATTCTTTTACGTGACGATCTTTATTGGTAAAAAGATAGAAAAAAAGAAGTTACTTCGTGATTGATTCCCTCAATTCTCAAGCTCTTTTTGGCTTTTATATTGTATTTAGATTTTTTGGACAATTTTTTTTTCTTTATTCACCGTTCCTTTCAATTTATTTTGTCTAACTTCACAGTATTTAAAAGAATAAATAAGACTTATAAATCTTATAATCTTAAATATAATATACCATTATAATCTTAAATATAATATACCACAATATCGTTTGATTATATAAAAAAAAGAGTTATCCAAAAAGAAACTAGACATGTTATAATCAATACGAGATTTATAGTTTTCCATTTTTTTTATATAGTTGGCCCTAAATTGTTGCATGAATTGTCATTCATCTTTTTTCATGTTCAAATGTTTGGTTTGTGGGGTCATTGGAATGTGTACCATATCATCAATTTGAGCTAAGCCAACATTCAACAAAGTGCAGCCAACAGAATCATAATCCCACTATGCTTTCATATATATGTGTGTGTACTTAAAACCGTTTTAACATTGATTCTGACTAGCTTTATCGAGATCACAAAAAATAGGTCTGGTTCAAAAATTGCATAGATTGACAGATTTGAAGATTTGTTCATATAATAATAATGATAATAATATATTCAGTTGTTATTGAGTAAAGTCTTATAACTGATGTCTAAGGAGAATTAGAGCGTAAGTCGATCTTATCACGTGATAGAAAGACTATTTTCAAAAGATCTTCTGGTTAAGTGTAGCAAATTAAATTCAAGCACAAAGAAGAATGAAACAAGCAAAGCAACTAATAAAGCAAACAATACAAAACCTAAAAGAAAATACGATAATCGAAACATAACAAACAACATATATAAAAAAATTTGTTCATCCATAATGAAAATTCTTCTGATTGAGTTTCGACTATTGGTAAGACCATTAATACCAGTCAACTATTGGATGTACACTTCATATCATTAGATTGTTAGAGGCTTTTAAATTAATGGAATAACATGAATTATGATGATTCAATATAAGCTATATAACCCCAACTTACTAGGAATTTAGGCATTATAATTTTTGTTAACTGGTATCTTCTGCCTAAGAATATAATTGTGGCAGATAAATTCAAGAATCCTAGCCCATAGATTTTAGTGACAGAAATTAAATATAGTTCAAAGTGTTTGTCATAACCCCAACAGATAAATAAAATTATATATGTCAGAGTCTGGCCTTTTGGCACTAAACATTCAAATTTGAATGAATCAAAATAGCTGCATGTGAAAGACCTAAAAGGATTTTTCTTTGTGGTCCTTTTTCTGTTTTTTGAATTTTAATTGCTCTTATAATAAGGTAAAAAGAATAATAAATCACCCAAAAAATGGACCACATCTGTTAAGTCAAGTCCTCTCAAACTTAACCTACTATTTCATACTACATTTTCAAAAAAAAATTATCAATATGTTTGACATATGTTGTTATTGTGTTTTCAACCATCAATATTTCATAGTAGATTTTCTTATTTTACTTGAACTTAATGTACACTTGAATCGAACGTTTTTCTATTATTTTCATGATAAGATCAGCATACATTACATTCTTCTCGGAATCTAGCAACAGAAATTTCACTGAATTTATTTTTTTTGATATTGAACTTTGGTTTTAATATGTGAGTGACCACTTTTTTGGCCGAATTGCGTGATGACAATGACACTTCTTGTTTTATTGATAAAAGTTCCAAAAGAAAGAAGAAAAAAAAAAACAAGTCACAGATCACATAACTTGTTTTCAACTTCAGGACTTTGCCTTTTTTCTGTGGTCTGAACATGGCTGCTTTCATAGGGCAAATGCCAGTATAAAATTTAGACTTATCGATCGTTTAACGTGAAATATGAGGTATAATAATCTCAAAGATATACATACATAACTATTTTATCTTTCATTTGATCGAAGGTATTATACAGTCTTGAAATTATTAATCTTATCATTTATATCTTAGTGATCGAATTGATATAACTTATTCTAACCAAACAACTTCTTAATATATAAGCATCTCGCAAAGCTTTTTAGGATATTCCATTTAGACATTAAAACTTATCATTATTGCAATTGAACATTTCAACTCTTAATAACTTGCTCCAATTAGTATCTTTCGGTTCATATTTCTTGAAAATCTTTTTGTGTGCGTGTTCTCATTTGCTTATTAGGTAATTAAATTAATCAATACATAAAATAAATTCACCTCAATAAGCCATAAACTTCATATATTTTTTCTACTTGAAGTTGATGCTTATAATTAAAAGAAATAGCATTTTTTATATAGTCAACTCAACTAATTAGTAATCGAATGAAAATACGCGCAAAATTATTTTCAAAATTTAAGTCAAAGATATCTATTGAAACACTTTATCAGAAATTGAAATATTCACTTAAAACACGACTTAATTAGAGTGTATATATACAAGTTTAAGAGTATGACTTATTTACGATGTATTAAGCCAAAAATTAACATGTAATTTTCCCATGTGCTCTCCTTTTCCTAATGGTACACTTTTGAATTAACAAGAGAAACTTCCTACCACAAAATGGTTAAGCTTTTCTTTAAGGAATCAATTGAAAATGAAATTATATCAACTTGTCCTAATCTTAACCATGTTACCTGTTTTTGGATAAATAGTTAATAACAAGAATAATTAAGCAGTATATATCAAAATTAAAAGTGTGTAAAACAGTTAAACATGATAAAAATATTGTTTTGTGAGTTCAAGTGGGGGTAGATTTAATTCCATAGCCCTTTTTTTCTATTCAAATTTATAAGTAATCATAAGAAATCGTTTCTTCTTCGTTCATATGTAACAACTATAGGATATAAAAAGAAAATTAACCTTTTGATTTGTTGGAACATTATTCCCTTAATCATAGAACATAATCATTCATAATAAGAATAATAGAGTTAAAAGTTATTACACCATTAGTGCAACTTAAATAATTATATCATGTTAATAATCTAATTTTAGACATAATATGTAGATTTATCTATAATCAATCATTTTTAGACAAATTCATCTCTTTACCTATGATCCATTATTAACAATCACAAGCTAAACAAAACCATTAATTACCACTAAGAATCCAAAGAAGTTACAATAATAAAAATCTCTAATTTTCTATCTGAAAAAACTAAAGTTAATTAATACAAAGAAAGGTAATTACTGTACTTTTTTGGTTAATAAGATGAAAAAGAAGAAAACATAAATAAAAGAAATTTAAACCTCTCCATCAATTGAGTTGTAGGTTGAAGGTGAAGAAGCCAATGGAAGTACCTTTACACAAGTAGTAGAGTTTACTTGTATTTGTTCTCTCATTTTGCTCTTTCCAAGAAATGATATGAATGATCCTTTTTCCTCTATTGAACAAACATCATTCTTGATTACCTTTTTTTCTGCTTCTAATTCTATTAATCTTCTTATAAGCTTCTCCTCAGCATCTCTAAGGAACTTGAACTTTGGAGGGGGTGAAGATTTGAGTTTGTTCAACTCATTTGATGATTCAAAGAGTGGATTGAATCCTTGACAATTGTAAGAATCAAGATTTTGAGTCTTAATTGGTGGTGATGACAGAGGTGTAAGGATAAGATCACTAAAGCTTTTGTTTCTACTTCTAGATTTACCATCTTCAGATTCTAAATCCTCTTTTGTTTCTTCTTTAATTGTGAAGAGAAATCTAGGAGGTCCACATAGATTGTGTAGCCTCATTAACTCTGATTCTACACTATCTTCACCATATCCTTTTAGCAACAAATCTTTGCTATTCCCTAACTCCAAATCTTGATCTTGATCATGAACATGACCAGTCATTTCTGTGTTGCTTCTTTGTTGGCTACTAACATTTTTTGTTGGCTTCTTCCAACAAAAAAGATGAGAAAGTTCAGTGGCACAAGGGGTGGTGGTGTTGTTGTTGTTGTACTGAGTCTCTGTTTCATTCTTTGGGATTCTTTTTCTTACCCATAACAAGTAATACAACTCTGCTACAAGTGCCATGAGGATACAACCAAATACAAAACTCAAACCAATACCTAAACCACTAAAAGATGACATTTTTATATAGTCACATCCAAATCAACAAACTACAATCTTGCACACAATGATACAACAACCCTTTTGTGGATTTTCCCAAATGAGCAAAAAAAAAAACTCAATCTTGCACACAACCCTTTTCTAGATTTTCCACAATGAACCAAACTCAAAAAGCAACACTTGTTGCAAATCTTGCTCACAACCTGTTTGTGTAAATTCCCAAATGAGAAAAAAAAAAGAGAACTCCTAAATCTATTTAGTTTAGCAACTTGCATAAACTTCAAAACTAAATCAAGAAAACCATTTAAAGACTACCCATTTCAGATCAAGAAACAACAATTAATTGATTCCTTAAAAAAAAAAAGACCCTTTTTTGAGAACATTATAATATATATATTTGCCTTAAACACACGCTAAGAAAAAAGCTGCGCCTGTGTGGAGAGACTTACAGTGCGGTGGAAAAAGGGAAAACAGAAGGAAAGGGAAAGAAATTGAATCAACTAGTAAGTTGTATAAAGGAAAGTGGGCAGAAAGTATATATTATATTTTTTCTATGAATTTATTAAAAAATATGGAGACTAGAAGGGTGTATTGAAAGGCAAAAGATGGGAGTTTATGTACTTTAGTGCAAAAAAATGGTTGGTTATATGTGTTAAAATGTCTTTCTAAAGATAGCTCATCACATGGGCTTGATTATTAGATAATATTTGTGTGAACATGTTTTTTGAAGGGATTTTGGAGAGGCGAAACTAGCGAGTGATAGTTTTGATATGAAACTAAAGATAATTTAGATGTATATTTGATGGTTATGTCGTGTTAAATTTGAAAAGAAGGTGGAATAGTAGGTAATTGTAGTTATTGATGTTCATAGTTATGGTTATAAAATCAAATTGATCAAAAAAATGATATTTTATTTGATTTGGTTTTATATTTTGAAAAATCGATGCTATTTTATTTGGTTTTTGTTTTATTAAAAAATAAATGTAAAAATAATTAAATCGAATCGATTACTTAGATATATAATTCTTAAATAAAATATAAAAATTTTGTTAAATTTTGACTAACCATTTTCTTGTAAATTTTAGCTCTTCTATTACAAACATAAGTTCAAGTCTATCAAAATTCATTACTTTAGTCTATACCTATCATATCTTTCATAAGATAGTTATACCTTCTCTTAATTGAATCACTTTGTTCGTGTAATGATAATTTTAATATTGTTTAATTGCTTAATTGAATCAACAATAACTTTCCAATGGATTGTTCATGACTTCATGTACTAGGTGTTTGTGTCTATCAATATGCGTTTTTCAAAGTTTATTAATTTCAAACTGAAAAATCAAAAAAACTGAACCATTATCAATAACCAAACCAATGGTTATCTTTTCTTTTGATTTAGCTTGATCTATGAAATTTAAAAAAACTTACTAGATTGATTTGATTTTGATTTTAACTAATAACTGAACCACAAACACCCCTAGCTGTAGTATCCTTACTTACATGACTATCTATTTTATTGCCTCATTTATATCTTGGCAGATAAAAAGAACCAAATTGTATTATTAAATAATTCTTATATTTATCTTTTCAATTCCTTTCTAACTATTTTTATTCCCTTATAATTGAATCTTTTGAAGTATTTTATGCATTATGTGAAATATATTGTTACTATCTCTTTTCACTTATAATTTGTCATAATTTTTCTTTTTTAAAGTCAAATTATAAAAAATTTTACTAACATTTCACGATGTATTTTTTCACCATGCAAAAAATTTCAATATATAGAACTTTTCGTATAGCTTTTGAATATCTAAATTTTTTGTTTAAATATCGAAGTAACATAATCTAATTTAACTCTAAATTTTAGTCAAATTGACTTTCGAAAAGTGCCACATGACAAATAAAAATGACAAAAAGGGAGTATATGTTTACGAAAAGATACTATTTGCCTTTTGGTGTAATGTTTCAAGCATGTCAATTCTATTTCAATATTATTACATCAACTAATCAAATTTAATATAAAATATATATCAAAAGTCTCTAAAATTTAACTGTCAACCTCCAATTTTGTCGAGTCAGCCCTAACCAGATCGCGCATGAGGCCGCGGGGCTACGACTTTCTCCTAGCTCTAATACTAATTATCTCTTATACAACCATCAACACTAACTATTCTAACACCCCCTGTGTCCTACGAATCTCATAGTTTTTCTTTTTGTATGTTAAAACAAAAAACATTTAAACATTTTTTTAAGCAAAAACTAATTATACTGCCAAATATAGTTCAATAGGTGACAATTATACAAAATTACCTAAGAATATTACATTTCGTTTACTTATAAAAGTTCATATGATAGGGATGGTTTATGCTCGATGATGACACAATCCGAGGAACAAATTCATAAGATTTATTAATCTAAAGCAAACAATACAGATCACGAGTATTTTTTTTTATATCATTTAATTTTACACTTCTAGAATAAACTCGATTCTTGGTGGACCTTAAAACAAATATGTATTGAATAATGTAAATTTACAAAAGTCGGAAAATTTATTTTTATTTCAAAAGAATTTACAAAACTGTACTACTTTTTTCTCAAGAAAATACTCAATTTATCTACTCATTTTGATAGTGAATATTAGTATTACAAAAATTATTGTATGACGGTAGGTGATTAGATTAAAATAAAGTAAATTTGTATTACATATTAATTAAATCGAAGATACAATAGTCCAGAATAATACTATACGCTAATATTATAATTATATGTTAATTATTTAATCCCAATTAGTTGGACCTAAAGTAAAAGACCATTTTGTCTAGATTTCCAACTAATAAGACCATAAATGTGATGCAAGTCCAAGGACTCATTAGTCTTTTTAGAAAGATTACTTCATCATTAACTTTAACTCACACCTATATAAAAAAAAATACAATATTATAGGAAAGCATGGCAATCATAATTAGTAATAATAATAGGGAAATGCAAGTACCCTCCTAAATTATAATCAAAATCTCAGAGACACATCTTAATTATTCTAAGGTCTTATTATCTCTTAAACTTATTTTTTTGTAATTTTGTGTACCTTTTTTACTTACGTGACATCCAATTATATCTCACACGCGCCTCAATTGCGTGGAGTCACGAAGTGTGCTACGTAAGACAAAACATATGTAAAATTTAAAAAAAAAGTTTAGGAGTAATAGGACCTTAATTTAATTAAGGCATGTCTCTAGAATTTCAGTTATAATCTAGGAAATTACTTGTGCATTTTCTCATAATAATAAGTGAAAGACTTATATGAAAATCATAAATTTCAAAAATATGATCTATCCAAAATTATATTCAAGCAGTTTTAATACAAACTTCAAACAATATAAAATTATCGAGAGCAATCATCAAAATGTTGACATGACAAATAAATCAAACTAATCATAGTCAAATTAAACAAACTCAAGTACAAGTTATCAAGCCCTTGAAGTTTTGAACCAAATTTTGTACTTAGCACTATAAATAAAAATATAGAATATTTATCATAAACTATGTATGATCATATATATTATTCTCCATGGTAATTAAAAACAAATAAATAATTAGGTACCTTTATCCACATATGAATTAGAACATGCAAAATGGGACCTCTTAACTTTTGTTGTGATTCTTAAAAGACAACAAAACACACATACACATATACTCACAGCTGTCTTCTTTCTCCTTTCTTTTTTTTAAAATTAAAATAGAAAAAAAATTTAAAAAATATATGTGGATTTCTAGCCAATAAAATTGAAGATATGAGAACCCGTGATCAAATGAAAGATTTAAGTCATCACAACATGCCAATAGCAAATTTTGAGAAAAAAGTTTCCTTTGATAAGAGATATAATGATTCGATTCAATTGATTATTTTCTTTTAAAAGAAATATATCATTTTATTTCAATAATATTTACGATAAAGATTGATATACGATACATTGTTTAAATAAGAAGTTTAAGTTGTGAGTTTGGAAAACCTTTTAAAATCATGAATATTCAAAAAATTCCAACTATTTAGTACATTTTTAAATTTATATCGGAACATATAATTAAAGACTTAATAATCGATTAGATTAGACTTGTTTATGTTGATTTTATCAGATTGCAACTATGATTAAATTACCTCAAGAGGTAATTATCAATATATTTTGTATCAAGCATATAATTAATAACACGATAAAAACTTACATATTATAATAGATTAAACTATGATCATGTAAAAAGAAATTTTATCAAAAAAAAATTCTAATAATTATTTTTATTTTTTATTTAAAAAGGGGGATTTGCATCAGCCATGTTAAACATTTATAAAATGTCGTGTACTGATTATTAAACGACACCATTTATATGCAAAAATCTAGCTGGACCGCGTATGTTTTATTTTTATTCCTTCTTTTGTTTGAAATTATTATGCCCCGTTTAGAAAAGAATGATTTTTTTTTAGTCTATTTAAAAAAGAATAACTTTTTTTTATAATAACTTTTTATGTGGTATGTTTAAAGTCACAAGATTAAAGTATAATTTTGTATATTTGACGTAATTTTAGTTTAGAAACACATGATCAAAAGTTTTCTTTATTTTCTTAAATTTCGTGTCAACTGTCAAGTCAAACTAGACCATTCTTTGTGAAACGGAGAAAGAATAGTTTTTTTGGTCTAGATTATTGGTTACTACTTGGAGTATTACTCTCTCCGATTATTTTTACTTATTATCATTATTTAATTTAACATATTCATTATGAAAATAATTATTAATATAAGTGTTTTTATTATATTATCCGTATTTATTGAAATTTAGTATTAATTCTTGAAAAATAATTTAAAAAATAATATTTAATTTTAAAGGTAAGAATTGAAAAAAAATATTTTTTCATTCATATATCAAAAAGTGATAATTAGTGATAAAATTAACGGAAGGAGTATGACTATTTGGTGTGTTAGCTCATTAGCCTATATGATAAATATTCCCTACATTAATTCAAAGTGTTCTTATTTCATACCTCTTTATTCTTTGGGTTCATAAATGGTGAATGAGAATTTTTCTCCGTTGAAATTTGTTCCATCATGAGATCAACAACCAATTTTATTACTCTCATTTTAATTTATTTGATCGATTTTAATTTGATATGTAGTTTTAGAAAGTACATAAAATTTTTGAATTTTGTGATTATAAATTAAAGATTTATAAAGTATGTTAAGATAATTTGAATTAGGTCAACCTCAACTAATTTAAGTCTTGACCCATTTTAAAAATCTTCGGTTGAACTCAATTTATTTTTTAATTTCAATCAGTTTTAAGATTCTTTATTTGCATCGATATGATGTATGTTTTCATATTGAAAATATGAAATATTATTTATTTTATATCTTCTAAGATTTATCTATTTATTTATTACTTTATTTTTATTTTCTTGAGTCGAAACTCAAAAATGTGGTAATAAAAGGTAAATAAAAATATGATAAAATTATTGAAATTAAGAGAATCAAATTGGACGGATTGTAATCCAACTCAATTTTCAGCCAATTTTGAATCCAAAATAAATTTAGGCAGGTTATAACCCAACCAGATTTCAATTTCAATCCATTTTTATATCTCCAACTCCAACTTAACTTATTTATTTGACACCCCTAGTTCACGAACAACAACAACAATAACAATATATCTAGTGAAACCTGACAAATAAATTTAATTAATCAAATAAAAAAATATTTTTAAAACTATCAAAAATACAATGATAAAACTAATAATTCGCGTTAAATTCATAATAGCTATTTTTAACATTTTTTTTAAATTGAACATAAAACAACAATAAATGACGCACAATATTTCAAAGTCTTGTAAGCCACGAGCACAACTGATTTTCCATGACATTGATGTAACAACTCAAGCTTCTTTCTTTATTGAATCATAAATTTGAAATTCCATGTTCATTATATTTTAATTTATATGATACAAAAAGAATATTATATAAGAAAAAGTATATAAATTTTTTTTTGAATTTGGTCCAAAAAATTCACTTTAACATTTAAACTATATGTGAGTTTAAATATTCTGTTAACATTTTTGAAATGAATTAAAAATCACCATGAGATTATTATCTCACTGTCACTTGTAATATCATTGCCATGTAAGTGTCACAACAACATCATATCAGCACCACGTCATTAATTATTTTCACCATTTTCCTTTTAACACTTTCTAAAATTAATTTACACTAATTAATTAATTCAAAGTGCATTTTCTAAAATTAAAATTAAAAATGTTGCCCCATACCCAGCCCCCTCACTTCTTTCTTCTTCACCATGTCTAGCTCTTCAATGTTTATTTTTCCCTTTCCATATTTTTCAAATGCGTTCACCGTTCGAACTCCTTTTATCGTAACTCTCAAATCACCGTCAAAGCTCCATTACTAGATTCTCTAAAACACCAACAAACAACTGAGTCACCACTTCACCATCACTTTCTTCCTTAAAACACTATTAATAGCGAGCTTTAAAGTTCTTAGAGGGAGCAACTAAACAACAACAATCAGTCTGTTTCTCTTCCTTTCGCATCGGTAAACTCCAACGCGGGAGAGATAAAGGATTTGCCATCACTGCCTTCGTCTTCAAAAAAATCAAAAAGCAAAAAGATCATTGATTCTTCCTCCGTAAAGTCCGGTAACTAGCAAAATTTTTTGCTCTGATTAAAATCGATAAAATCTATGTGTGAAATAGACATTAATAATAATATGGTGGTGTTGAATTTTGTGGATTACTAAAGAGATTGTGAAACTGAAGTAGCTAATAGAGTTAAAGGTGAAGATGGAGGAAAGGATGATAGCTTCAATGGAGAAGAATCTATAATAGATAAGACAACAAAATAAAAAGAATAAAAGTTAAAGTTTTCATGGGCCAATAAAATTATTCATATTTTTAATATATTAAGAAATAATATTTAAAATATTTATTATATATTGACCAATAAAAATATGTCTTGTTTATGATTTTATAATAATTATTTTTCCTTTTTAACATCTTCACACGCTATTAAGAGAGTGAACTCACATTCTTTGTCATGTCATTCCTTAGGGTTGTATTAATTCACTTCAAAGATGTTAAGGAAGTATTTAAATACTCGTATAATTTAAGTGTTAAAGTGAATTTTCGAATCAAGTTTAGTTTGTTTTATTTTTATATATTTTCTCTATTTTTATATTAAGAAGTGACTTTAATTTTAAAACACTCATTTTACCTAGTTATATAAAAAAGTGTATTAAATAGTAAAATAGAAATTAGCTAATACATATATATTTTCTAATATAATATACTATCAAACGACCCTCAAGTCACTAATTTAGGGATAAACTACTATTACCATACTAACTTATCCCTATATTAGTATTGTCACAAGTCTCTGATTTGTAATTATGAAGTGATTTGCAACATTCACCAACATAATCTCAAATTTCCTCCAAATAACACTCTAACTAATAGTAGACAGTTTCACCTATTAACAACATTACACAAATCATTTGGCTATTGGAAATTACAATTAGTGGAAAGTGTGTCCCTAAACTTATGTGAGATCACACATCTTACTAAATCAAGTTACCACATTGATGAATTGAAACCTATTATTTACTTTACTTGAAGGTTTATATAGCAAGTTGTTAAAACTTTCTAGACTAGGGAAGAGTCTTGAAAGGAATAGCTATAATAAGGAAGAATTTGTTGGTTTAACCTTAAACTAATCTTGTTTAGTGAAGATTATTTGGGGTAAATATTTTTTTAGTAAATTTATACCAATACATAGTGCATTTAAAGACCTTTTAATTTATTATTAATAATAAAAAAAAAGTTCCTCAACAAAGATAGGTACAAGCAAAGGCTGGGTAGGTCTTAACTTATAACCATCATAATGAGGTAGCTAACTTTTACTAATAACAGACATGAAGAAAATAAGAGCCAGAGAAAACTAGATAGTCTATAATACATTCTATGATGAGTCGATGATACTATAAATGAAAATGCTCAAGTAATGCAAAAATATAAAAACAAACAAGAAAATTAAGTTATCAAACTGAAAAGGATAGATTGTCCGTCTAAAGTAACTTGAAGCGTTTTTCTCTTGTTTTTTTCTTAAAAAATTTTCAATAACATTTGTTAGTTCATCAATTCTTCTTGAATTTATTGAATCTTAGCTTGTTGAAGTTATCGGCATTATTATATGATTCTGTTTTGTCAATCGTATCAATAGCTTGCCTTGAAACAAACTCTTCAATCACTTTACATCCCAACTATATAT